CATGTTTTAACAATCATCCTATGAAGACTAATTATGCAAATCTAGTGTAAATAAGATATATCCGAATTTTCTAATTTAGAATTGTTGAAAACAAATCAATATTTACACATATAAATACACAGAGATTGACACAGAGGTGGAGCAGTGGTTCTCATGTAGGATAAATTTACTAATAAAAGAACATTTTCAATTGTTGCATATTTTGATTGTCCCAACTGGGGGATGAACTGCTACTGACCTCTGATGGTTAGTGGTTGTTTAAGCTGTTCAATATGCTATATCAAGTATCCAGCCCCAAGCAATATCCATGTTAATAAATTTGTTGCAAATTGAGAAAAATTAATAAATGAATACCTAGGGAATAAAAAGATAGGGATACAGATTCAGATAAATAGGTATTGTTTATAAAGTAGAAATGAATTAAATTTAAACGTTATTATGATATTTGGTGTTAGATAAATTGATGATTATTACACTATTAAGTCTTCTGTTTTTCATTTGTATCATTATATTTATATGGTGATATTTAATAAGTACATTCAAAAATATTACTTAATACATATTCTAATAATGTGCTTTTTAATGACAAATTCCAACATTTCAAATGATTTCCTAATTCAAAACCTAGCCCCATACATCCTAATACTTCAAGGAGGTAGAGGTGGAACTGCTAACTTCCTTGATAGATATTGGCCAGATGCATGAATAAAAAGTCTATAATAGATTACACTGAAAATGTATTGACATGAAGAAACAAAAGAGGAGTTCTATGTATGTAGATATAGTTCACATAATGTATTAACTCAGTGTATACAGAGCCTAATTTGGGACAATAAACTGTCTAAAATTATTATCACATATAAAACAAACATGATCTTGCAGTGTATTTGGAACTATGATTAAGTGGTTTAATGTGTCCATGCTATTTCAAAATACTTATCAAATATCATTTTGCTTTTATTTTTAAGTGGTAACAGTAACCTAACTATGAGAGGTTTTCTATATACATTTTTATGTACAGTCTTCTCTACAGGAGTTTCACTTCTTTTCAAAAGCTAAAATGAAGAATAGGTGAGAATAAGTCAAATAGAATACAATACATGCAAATTTTTCCATTCTATACATAGGAGAGTCATAAAAATCTCTTCTGATAAAGGAAACTATATCTCAGAGGAAAAAAAAAAGCTCAGAATTTTAAAAATGTATTCTTAAAAGTTATATATAATATCAAACATTTATTATTGTGTATAATACCACAGAGACATATTTAAACAAACTGAAGATGACATATACATGGATTCATCCTTATGTTTTATAATCTTATTTGCAATATCTTCATGAAAACTTTTTTTGAATACGACAGCACATTATCCAAATAAACATCTGCATAACAAAACAAAGTTTATCTGAATATCTATGATAGTCCAGAGATTTAAAAATACAGTATAGTGACATATGAATAGCATATTTAAGGTAAGATAATTAATATTTCTTTAAAAAATTGATAACTAATATTCTCTAAATAAGAAAAAATAAAATGAATGACATTCTAGAGTAAAAATAGTAGTGACAGCTGTCTGTGTGCAAGCTACAAGCAAACAAAAAAATCAAATAATTTTGCAAAATTATATATAAAGCCAGCTTATATTTACATACAATTTGGTCTTAAATTACATTAATTATTATTTATATGGTTGTGGCTTCCTGTTATCCTACCACACTCCTTCTAGAACCCTTTCTCATTAAATATAACAAAATACACATCAGATTATCACACTAAAGAAGTCCATTCAATAAATGCAATAATAATATTTCAATCTCATTTTTATTGTTTTATTGTGATTTGGTGTGAAATCATGAAGTACTACAAAGATTTGTGCAGATGTTAAGTAACTATCCATATTGCTGCAATGTAAAAAAAATTCAGAGATGTTTCTCCCCCTTTGTTTTGGAGTTCAACAGAAAGAACTCATTGTTTCCTCATAATTTACTAATCTATGTTCATACTCATACTTTGTACTTAAAGTTAAACTCTGAAAAAACCTTTAGTCAAATTTCCATGCAAAAAAATCATTTTATATGACTATCAAATTGGATACATAAAAGTCTCCTGATAGCCAAAGAAAGTATTTTTTATATCTCTATGTGAAGGGAAACTCTTCCTTATCAAAATATTGGACATTCATACAATTGTGTACATAACTTTAAATGCTAATTATGTAAAGAGGATCCCAAAATGAGTCTAGAGGCACTAAATACCTACATATTCAGAAGGACATTAGGATGAAAGAGTGAATCCTTGCTATTTCCAGTTTTGTTTTCAAAATGGGTCTCCTTTTATATGCTTCATTTGCTCTCAGTTTTTTCATCTCATGTGGGCATGAGAATCTATGCCCACAAAATTCAATGCTATGTAGGCACACACAATGTGCATGCTTCAAGGATGCTTATGAGCATTTACCCATTCAAGTTGGGTGAAAATATTTCATAATTAGTATGAAAAAAAAGGGAGAAAGATCCCATGGCTATTAAGACATTATTGGGTAGAAGAAAGTGCAGAAAGCAAATCAGAAACGTTCACTTATATTAAAGGCAACAGCTATCATAAAAATGTACTCATTTATGTGGAGACAGGTGAAATAAACACTTCATTAAACTACCTTTGGTACCTATAATGAAACCCTTCTCTAGATTCTCTTGTGTATTCCCTTAATATGGCATTTTTTATGGAAAATTTACTAATTTCTTTTTAGTGTAGAGATTCTCCCTTAGGAGATGCAATTTGTGATTATCCCTAAAGAACCTGAAACCCTAATGAAATGCCTGTAGGTTGTTGAATAATTATCATCAGGGATAAATTTATACAAATTTGGCTTCACTTGTTTATGCATTTATTGTAGGATCCAACATTGTTTGCATATTAGGATCACAAAGAGATATGAGCACTCCTATGTTCATTGCAGTATAATTTGAAAGAGTCAAATGTGTCAATATATACTGAAAGACAAACACATAAGTCAAATGTTGTCTATGCAAACAATAAAATATTATTCATACTTAAAAATGTATATACTTCATAGTGTGATAAAAGGATAAACCAGGAAAACATTAAATAAAACAAACCGGTCACAAAAGAAAAAAAAATACTTTTTACATGACATATCCAAAATACTCAAACATAGCATCATTTGAGGCACATGCCTATGATCCCAGTGGCTAGGAAGGCTTTGAAATGAGGATTGCAAGTTCAAAGCCAGCCTCAGCAAAAGTTATGTGCATAGCAAGTTAGTGAAACCCTGTCTCTAAAAAAAAAAATGCGTAATAGGGCTGGGGATGTGGCTCAGAGGTTGAGTGCCCCTGAGTTCAATCCCTGGTACTACCCCCCAAAAAATAGAATCATAAAGCAGAGTGGTAATTGCAGAGGAGAGGGAATTGAGGAAAATGAGGAATTGCAAATAAATAGACATGAAATCTAAACAATGCAGATAAATTTGAAGATGTGCTGTAAAACACTGTGACCTATAGTTACCAGTACTGAATTGTACATTTGAAATATTGAGATGGTAAATTTCTTGGTCAGCCCAATTAAATAATTTTTCAAAGAAGAAACAGAGTCCCAACACCAGTTAAATTACCTGTAAATCTTGAAAACATTAAACTAATTTTAAAGAAACAGGCAAGAAATGATATATTTCCTCTGAATTCTTTATTTTTTTAAAAAAATTTTATTCATTTTAAATTTATTATAGGTATACATGACAGTAGAGTGTATTTTGACATACTATACATAAACCAAGTATAATTAATTTTAATTAGAATCCCACTCTTGCAGTTGTACATGATGTTGTTTCACTAGTGGTATATTAATATATGAACATATCAAATTTATATCAAATTCATTCTATCTTTTCTATTCCCATCCCTTCTTCCTTCCCTTCATTCACATTTGTCTAAGACAATGAACTTTTATTATTCCCTCCCTCACCCCTTTTTGTGTGTTAGCATCAATATATCACAGACAACATTTAGTCTTTGTTTTAAGAGATTGGCTTGTTTTGCTTAGAATGATAGTCTCCAGTTCCATCTATTTACTAAAATGCCATAATTTCATTCTTCTTTATGGCTGAGTAATAATCCATTGTCTATAAATACCACATTTTCTTTATCCATTAAAGGACACCTAGGTTGGTTCTACAGCTTAGCTATTGTGAATTGAGCTACTATAAACATTGATGTGTCTGTGTCATTCTATTATGCTTTGGGTATATACTCAAATGTGGGGTAACTGGGTCAAATGATGTTTCAATTCCAAGTTTTATGAGTAATCTCCTTACTTC